AGAATAGGAAATAACAAGCATGCAATAAATTCCTTGTCTAAAAAAGCTTCCACTGAGCTTCAGGGACAGATTTGAACCTGGGTTTCCCATTCCACCTCTAGCCACTACATCACACTGGCCCTGCCTCAGGAGCTGGTATCCTTTCATCACTAAACACAGAGGTTGCGTTCAGCTTCATGCCTGCTGTTGGTAGGAACATCTTCCATGAACTAATCCAGTCCTCAATTCCTTTCATATATAGTCTGTGTGGGGAGCCTGGTAATCTGAAGTGGGGGATGGCTTGGTGGCTATTTCTGAAAGAAAAATGGTGCACCCGAGGGCGAATTCCATGTTCAGTGTAATGCATAGCTTGGCCCTAAGCTAGTAGAAGGGACTACAACGTGCGGCCATGATTCTGTTAATCAGTTGCACTTTCTGTGAAGTTCTTTGTTGCCCTCCTGGCACCCTGCAGGCACGAGGGACTACCGCTTTCATAGTTCTCATGGCCATGCTGTCTGGGAATTATGAAAGTCCCATCCAGCATTCCAGGAAGGCACATGGCTGGTATGTCCTGAATCTACTGTCATCAGTCCCATTGAGTGACCTCTGTTCTTGCGTTACCAAATGGGGGAATGCCATTGGTCCATTTCCTTCACACCACCCCTAATTTAATAAACCACTATCTGTTCCCCCTTTGATGGTTAAACTAGAAAGCCCCCAAATGCTTCTATTTTTTGCAGGGAGATAGGGAAGTTGCTGCAATCCTTTGATTATTTTCATTGCCATTTTCTGCACCTTCCCAGCTGTTTTGATCACCTTTCTGAGCTAGGAAGACCTGAAGTGTGCACGGTATATGAGCTGCAATTGTTTGATAGAAGTCTGTATCTTCTTTCTCCTTCAGAGACAGAGTCAATCTGTCCATTTCGGCACGGTCCAAGATCTTTTTTAAAATCTGTTCATCGGTAGATGGTTCTTCACTCTTCCAGTGTTGGGCAAATGCAATCCTCGCCGCAGTAGTTACATGCAAAATCAGATACATTGCTTGATTACCAATATCATCAGGTGCAATGCCTAGTAAGAAAACTTCAGGTTTAAATATTAGAGGTTTTTGTAGCATTCCCTCAAGCCATTTGTGTATTTTAATCCAACATTTTTTGCCTTATCGCAAGTCCACCACATACGATAAAAGGTACCCAGTTTGTGTTTACATTTCCAGCATCTGTTTGACATATTTGGAAACATCTTAGCTTATCTATTTGGCGATAAATACCATCTATAAAACATTTTATACAGGTTTTCTTTATATGAGGTTGCTAATGTTACTTTAAAATTTCTTTCCCACAGCTTTTGCCATTTCTTTAACTCAATACTGTATCCAAAATTTTGTGCCCATGTTATCATAGTTTCCTTAACTTGTTCATCTTCCATTCTCCTATCCAAAAGAAAGTTATACAATCTTTTAATCATTTTCTCATCTGATTTTAAAATCACATGGTCAAATGTTGTTAATTCCTTATAAAAAACCCCACATTCTATAGTCTTTAACATAGCTCGATTGCATTTGGACCTTGTGCCACCAAGAGATATTAATTCCTTGCTCTTGTATGTCTTGATTCAGTTTCAATCCTCCATCGTTATCCAAAATGCCATCATATCTCACACTCATATTCAATGCGTTTGGGTATACAAGACCTTCCATAGGTGAAAGCCATCTTGGTAATTTAATATACAGTTTTGTCTTTAACTTTTCCCACACCAACATTAATGATTTCCTAATATAATGATTTAAAAAGCAACCATGTGCTTTACACTTCTCATACCACATATAGGCGTGCCAACCCATTTGCAAATCATGCCCTTCAAGATCCAGAATTCTCTTATTTCTTAAAGTTATCCATTCTTTTAGCCATGTTAAGACAGAAGCTTGATAATACAACATCCAATCAGGAAGACCAAAACCCCCATTCCCTTTGGCCTCCTTGGTATTTTTCCGGTAACTTTGGTAAATTTCCCTTTCGGATATACTCATTAACTTTCTCAGTTGAAGTTTCTTTATTCTGGTACAGCTTTGCAAAGAGGTCTTCCACTATTTTCTTAATGTACTTTGTACTTGCAATCGTCCTTCTCCATCCTTCAATTTATATATTAGTCTCTTCTCTCTTTCCTTCTTTAATTTATAAGCTAACCATCTTCCTGGTTTATTAGCATTTTCGAAAAAGTTCTGTTTGGTCAGTTTCATTTGTTTGGTAAGTTCATTTGTATCCAAGAGGTTCAGTTTGTGTTTTAGAATATTCATTTGTGTTTTAAGGTCTTTTTTAGACGGATCTTCCTGGAGTTCCTGTTCAAGCTTCGTCAATTCCTCTACTAATTTAGATCGTTCCTGCTTTCTCATTTTATTGATTTTTGCCAAGTATGTTATTATCAGCCCTCTGACATAGTCTTTAGCTGTATTCCAAACATTTTGCAAAGAGGTTTCTTCAGCTTTATTAACTTGGAAAAATAATTCCATTTCCTTATTTCTCTCTTCTCTGAACTTTTTATCTTTTAGTAAAGATTTATTTAATACCCATCTGGGCATTTTTACTGTCCCTTTCAATGTCATGGTTGCAGGATTATGATCTGCCCAGACATTTGTATCTGTTTCAGCTTCTAACAGATCTGGGACTAGATCTGGGGTTATCTAGATCATATCAATTCTGGACCACGACCTATGTCTATTTGAGTAGAAAGTATACTTAGCAGCAGTTGGGTTTTTATGTCTCCAAGCGTCTGTCAGTCTGAATTCTTCAAATATATTAAAGCAAGACTTTGGAAGTATCCTCCTAACCTTTTTTCTCCTTAGTCTCACTCTTATGGTCTATTTTTTTGTCCACGATTGCGTTGAAGTCTCCCATTAAGCACAAAGTTTGATAACCCACTCACAAGAGTAAAGTATGTAGTTTTTGGTAAAACATTTTCTGGTGATCATTTGGCACGTAGATCGCCACCAAAAGCACCTTTTTAAATTTCATTGTAACTTCAACCATCAGGATCCTGCCATCTTCATCAGCTAAAATATATTTGGGGTCTAATTTTTCCTTAATGTATAATGCTAAACCTCTTTTCCTTTGGTAAGCAGAAGATGTAAATAACTTTCCGAGTTCTGAGCATTCCAGGAGCTTAAAAAGTATTGGTGTCTTAAAAGTCTCAAAAGATGGTTTCTGAAGGTATATAGTTCTACTAGGAATATATAAAATGATTTCAGTGAAACACATCGGATGAAGCAACGCTGTGTTTTCTAGTCTTGCATCTCATCCCAATGCTCCTTTTCCTTCTGGTTAGATTACAAAGCTCAAATTTACAGTAAAATTCCACATGCCTTCTTCCCGGCCTCTACTGTCTCGTGCATTTCCTTTCTGCATTGCAGGCACCACCCTTTTCATCATTTCTATAACTCTCAGCCATTTCCTTCACTCTAGTATACAGGTTTGGATCCAAACAGGTGCTGTCTTTTGATTAGAAATGCCCTTTTAGCCTTTCCTAGGACAAGAAACATCCCTTTTCAAGTTGGATGTTTTAGATAAGTAGCAACACAATGTTGGGAACCAATAATTTTTGCATAATTTCTGATGAATGTGAGGATTTTTTTCTGCATGTGTTCATATGTTGTATTTCTGTAGCTATTGCAATGGGTGGATATTTTGCCAGACTGCAAGTCAGTGATTCCTTCATGCTCCATGTCTGTGGGAAAAAACTTCCCGTCCAGCAAGAGAAAAGCTACTCGTTGGAACAGGTTTCCATACAGGCTGTCCTCCTGTATTTGTTGGAAGGAGGACTGAATCTAGGTGGAATAATAGTATGATGATGGTGATGATTGCTATTTTTTCTCAGAAAAAAGATTCTAGGCATCCTACAGTATTTAAAACAAGCACACATTTTAAGCAACAACAACAAAACACAATCAAATTTTGCAACCCAATAAAACAACACAATTAAGAACGCTGTCATATACTGTCAAATGCCTGGAAATAATGGGAAGCTGTTCCTGGGGCCCAAAAGATGGCACTGTTGGTGCCAGCTAGTGGTAGTGAGAAAGATGACGGCTTTGGGCAATTGTTCTCGGGGACTGCTGGCTGGACTGAAGAATAAGAAGGGGGAAAGCAGTGAAGAACACAGGTGGCCTTGGAATGTAGGACTTGTGGAGACACTGGGATGATGGAAGCAGAGATACTTGTCTCAAAGCCAGACTCCCCAGGTGGGCAGAAAGTCTCTGGGAAGATGTACAGCTGGCAGGAGGGGACTTGGAGCAGGAGAGTTTCTCAGACAGGCGGGGCAAGCACAGCTCTTCACTCCATGATGCCTTGCTGGTAGAGGAGGGTAGCCCAATTAGAGAATTGGCATGCAGAGAGGAGGCATGCTTGCTTTCAGAAGGATCCTCGCAAAGGGATGGGGCCCAGGCTTGCTCATAACGAGAGTTCCTGGAGGTGAATACAGGATTGGGTTCAGCAAACCACTCTATGCATGCTCAGAGATTCATTCTGGGTGTTTTGTGCTTTTGGGCCAATAAAAGACGCTTTGCAAGGGAAAAGGTCTGTGGCTTTTGAATGCGCAAAGGAGGAACCTCAGCTCATGATACCAGCTTGACCTCACTGGGATTAATAATGTTAATTACAACTCAAGGTGTATAATCAATAGTACACTACCCCATCTCCATCAGTTCAGTGCTATCAGACCTAACTATCCGGACTAGAATGATGGCACAGCTGGATACGGTAACATCTGCAGACCAGGACTAAGGTGGTTCAGCCTTGTTTGACATCTTTATATGATTGTGGTAAACCAAAAAGATTTTATGCCAGTTATTACATCCTGGTAGTTGGAATTCATGGACTGATAATGCATAGGGCTGCTTGTTCACGATATATGCATGTATAAGTCTTGCTTCTAACAGATTTCAAGTGCATACCTGCCAAGAGCATTTTTACATAGAAGCCCTTAAATATTTTTGATGTAGCAGGTCACTTTTCCTTTCCCTTCCACAGTTGGCCATGGGCAGAGTGAAGGAGACCGTATGGTCGTGTCAGACTTCCACGTGTTTGTCAGAGACAGCTTGCAGCACATTGACCTCATGAAGAAAGATCATCCAGGCCTCCCCGTGTTCCTTCTTGGGCACTCTATGGTAAGCTCACTGCACTGGCCTGGCACAGTGGAGTCCTGGCCTCCTTCCCATGGGGTAGCAGTGGGCAAGGCCGCTTCGTGATTTGCTCCCTCTCCCCCCCCCTCTTGATTTCACTTTACTGTTATGTGAATACTAAAAGCAGTGACCGTACAACTGGAGTACTTATGAACAAACATAAGCACAAGGGGTGGAGTAAGACATCTCCACCCTCCACCTGCACATACTACCTCTGTGGACACCAAAAAGCTAACCAATGGTAACTTTCAAAAAATGTAAGAGGGAGGTAAAACACAAATTCACTTTCAGGTATTTCAGTGCCTTTTTGTGGACTTTTTAGCACTGGCTGTAGTCCCCCAGTCTTCCCAGTGGATTAACAAGCCAGAGCCCACCTGCCCACTTTCTCTCTCTCTCTCTCACTCACTCGCACATGCACACTTTACAATTTGAGTTAAGCTGCCTTTCCTCTCACTGATGTGGGCCGAGGTAGGTGTTTACTCATTAAGGGTCAGAGTTAGTGTAAAAACAGAGAAGCCATTTCCCCTTTGCCTGGATTCTGTAATTTTGTGGAAGGGGAGGCTGAACATATTCCCTGGCAAGTGCCTGCAGTGGGTTAAAGCATAAGTGGAAGAGGAGGACAATTGATGTGACTGGCCACCATGTGCAAGTATGAATATGGCTGAAATAAAGGTAATGTCTGGGAGATTAACCTGATCTTTGTCCAAAGTGGGGTAGTAACAAGTGGAGCCCCAAAGCTTTTGAGAAGCTAATATGGCAGAAGGTAGAACACCTCAAATGACAGGCAGAATAAACTTTATTTCTTTTGTAGCTTAATCCATTTCCCTTAATCTTTTTATCTAAACTGCTTAGATTTTGGTTCACCTTGTTGATTAAAGCATCCTCCAGCTTTTTTGGCCTATGACACCCATCAGCCCCAGCCAGCTGGGGATGATGGAGGTGGTAGGTCAAATCATTTGGAGAGATCCATGTTAGAGGGAACTGGATTGCAAGTTAAGAAATTAAAATAGACCAATTTCCTTCTGGTATGTCTAACTCTTTGCAAGGTTATGGCTTTCCTAGTCTCTTTCTAGGGCACTCTGAAATGTCAGGTAAGTGTAGCTTCCATTCCTTTACTTCCATTCACTGCAAATTAGCTTACTGCTTAAAGGTTGAGGAGATTTAATGAACAAATTAGTAAGTCTACCAGCTGATAGAGATCTGTTAAGGTCCTAGAGGACCTAGCTTGCACTTTGGAAAAACTAGGCTCAGGCATTTCTCACTTCAGAAGAGACTAAAAGGAAACTAAGAATGGATGAATCTGTACATGGGGTGGGGTGGGGGGGGCACTTTGGCTATTGAAATAAGCCTGAACAGTTGTAGATAATAAACACAAAAATGGCCACTGAGCAGGACTTCTGGCGATCTGGGAATGACAGCTTCAAAATTCCCCATAGCTTACCATCACCACCATTTAACAGAAGAAAAATAGACAATGTAAGTACCCATACAGAAATAAGCATGTTGATTACATCATTTAATTCTGCTTTCCTTGATGCAGACTTTGCACTATATTAGTGCAAAATTCTGAATTTTTTTTGCATACAGTATGCATGGCTCTGGTTTTATTCAGATATTTAACATCTATACAGCAACATAACATTTAGGGATGGAAATGTGGAAGTCTGCATGAGCTAATTACCAAACAGTTCAGAGCACAGGGCTTTAGTACAGTCCTAAACAGTGCTTTTTTATAAGAAAAAAGGTGCCAGAACTCACATCTTGTTAATCTTTTATTTAAAAAATTATATATTCAGTTCTTAACGTAAATGTAATTTACCACATTTAAGGCAAATGTTCATAGTAAATTCCAAAGTTTTGTCCAATTCTCGTCCAACAAGTCTTCTCGACTCCTTTCCCTGCTGTTAGTATTTATGTGTTCTGTCGTGTCTGTTAATATTTTGGCCTTTTTATTAGCAGGACCAGTGGTTGAGAAGTAATTAGTATTTTTTTTAAATTTGGGGTCACACTTTTACATCAAACATTTAAAAAAATTCAATTCACCAAAGTTTTTTTAAAATAAAGAAATTATTTACCTTTCGCACGTAGTCAATCCCTGAACACACACCCACACACAGTTGTGTAATGAAACATAACCGTCGCTGCCTGCAGTAAGCGCTCAGCGCACGATCACATGACCGGTCACAAGCCGAGCGGCGCCATCACAAACAGCGCGGATGAAGTACACATGCATCAGACTTGACACACAAGCAGCCCGCATGCACCGTTTTAATGATTTTGCCGCCAACCTGCTGCTCTTGACAGGGCGATTCAAATCCACGTGGACCAAACATCAAATTTTCAAACGTTAACTTTTAAAACTTGGAAAATCCGTCAAAAAAAGGTGCTGGAATGCCATTCCGGTGCATTCTATGACAAAAAAAGCACAGGCCCTAAATAGCATGTCAGTGATAACTCATTAGTTAATATCTGTGGATTATTTTGCCATCATGTAATTTACCATTACTATATTCAGTGGATTATGCTGCAGAGATTAAGGGTACACTCTACGTTATTTATTGTTTAAAAGGATATAATGCATTGAAATTGAATCAGGATTACTGATACATGAAACTTTGCAACTTCGGTTCATTGAAGCATCATATCTACACATCCCAGGTTTCTTAAATGCCTTACCCCATTCTGAGCCTTCTCAGCACTCCCTATGAATTCAGGTTCAGTTCAACTTCCTTTGTGAAGTAGATAAAACCACAATTCCTTGATCCCTTATGAGAAATTACATTTTTGAGCATGCTCAGGACCTTTGGACAAATGCAATCTTGGCTCTTGCAAGTTTTAAAAAAAATTGCATATTTGGGTAGCAAATAAAATAGTTTACTGAACTTTACTGCCACTTTTCCTTTCTCATAAGCTTTACATAACTAAATTGGGTTTCATGAATAGATGAATTTGAGCTTGGTTTAGCTATCTCATAAGAGCTCTGTGCTGATTTACAGGATAATTTCTTTTGTACAATTGTGCTTCTGGGTTCGGTGATTAAAGCAACATTGGAACAAGTTTTGAAGCACTGCTATAAGTGCTCTGGTAAGATTGGCACACAAATCGAACATGTAATGCACACTTGGATCCGTAATATAAAAGCTGAGCTTGCCAACTTCACAAACACTGTGAAGTTTCAAAGAATCATTTTCAACTGTTGAAACCAATGCCATGTGAAAATGAAGTGTGACCTAAATTTGGCTTTTTCTTTGAGCAGCGAATAGCCTTTGCTGAATTGTAGCTCATCACTATAACAAATTAGCAAAATCCCTGGAGCAGAGACCTTGTTAATATAACTGTTTATAAAGTTGCTCTGCAGAGATCAATACTCATAATAATCACTCAAAATACTCATAATATTCATCAGTGATGTCACTCAAACGGTTGCTTGATTTTTCATTGCAGGGAGGAGCCATCGCCATTCTCACCGCATGTGAAAGACCAAATGAATTTTCAGGCATGATATTAATTTCTCCTTTAGTCGTTGCAAGCCCAGATGTAGCAACACCAATCAAGGTAAAAAAAAAATCAAGGCATAAATTAATTTCAGACACACTAGCTAAATGTCAGCTAAGCTTAACATAACCTCTAGCTAACCGCTCTTTCTTCCACCAGTTTTTCCTTTGTATTTTAGGTCATTAATTATTTCTAAACCAATTTCAAAGGAAGGTTTGCAGTCAGTGCAAAGATAATCAGTGTATGTTACATGTAAACGGTGAGATCCCATCAGCTGATTTTTCTAACAAAAGGGAGTGTTGAAAGACTGCAGGTCAGAGCAGAGAACTTGTTTCCTATCTGTGAGAATCCTGATGTATGTTTGCTTTTGCAAAGTCCCTATGAGTGGAAGGGAACTTTCAGTTCATCGGTCTGCCTAATTATTTAAACTTCTGTCAGAAACGGCTGAGGCACCGCACAGATTCTTTGTATCCTGACAGAGCCACATCCTCCACCCCCACCCATCACAGCACCAAAACTAGAACAGAAAGAACTGCACCAGGTGCAAGTGTAGAAGGAGGTTGCCCCAAATTTGGAGCCCCAGCTTTGAACTTGCAGTACTTTTCTGAGGTTGGAGCTCTGAATATACCTATGGCCATCTATCACCCATAGGATTACACCCAAAGGCTCTTGTGGGACATCCGTTAAGGCAAACACTTGACAATAGGCCAGGAAAGCTGATGTCATAATAAACTCTCTAGCTTTTGAGGTGCAATAAGATCCTTTGTTGCTCTGGCTGCAACAGACAAACATGGGGTTCCCTTCTGGAAATTGTTGCATATATCTGTGTGGCTGTACCACCAAGTTCAACCTGAAATGGGAAACGTAGCAACCAGTTACAGCCACCCCTGGCATTTCTTAATGATAAGCTTGAGCAAAGTCATCCAGCTTACTCTCTGCTTTTAGTCTTGTCTTTACAGTATAGCAATTACCTGATTTAATATTTTGCATGCATCCCACTAAAGTGTATCCAGCAACCTGTACTATACTGTGTACCATGATCCTAACACCTGCCATGATGAGGCAGATCTTCCGCCTATTCCTGGTAGAAATCACTGCAAGAAGCACTGCTCAGCTGTGTTGGTTAGAAATTCCTTCAGTTTCTCTGCAGATCCTTTATCTCTTAAAGTATGTTTTATTTCACAATTTGTACAGGCTTTGTGATTAAAAGCATACTGGGTCACTCTCAGTGTCATCCCTCAGGAAATCTGTAAGGATCTGTTACAGATCTCATCTCTTCAAGTCAGTGCTAGGTATGGAATCTACACCAATAACACAAATAGCTATACACAGACAAAGGTGGGGTAGCACACAGAAAGCATGTGCCTTAATGCCAGTGGAAGCATCAGCTGTGCTAAGTGACTTGAAGCTGTCGGGCCATATTTGCATTTCTGGAGACTTATTTATCCCCAGCAGAGCACTGTAGCCGGAGGTGCAGTGTACGGAGCGCTGCTTCTTCCCTCCTCCAGCAGGGGCAATCATGTTCTCTTCCAGAGAGCTCTTTGCCAGTCCTCTCTGCCTGCCAAATAAATAAGGTCTCAGTGGGGAGAGGCCCACCAAACAAGCAGAGCAGAGGAGCAGAGAGCGACCCTTAGAGGAAATGGTCTAAATTAGTCCCCATGGAAACACTTCTACAGGTTTGTCTACAGTCACTCGTTGCTTTTGTCAAGCACTTGCGACTCTGGCCAGTTTTTGCGCCAAGAGAAATTGTAGGAACCCTTCTTGTCAACAGGAAAACTATACTCACGTTATTCACTTTAAAAAAGAAAATGGAATTTTGGGTCCAAGTAACTTGCAGGCAGCGGCTGCAGCAGTCATGGCATGTGTGTGGCCTGCCCAGTGCTCAGCCATGCTTTGCTGAAAATGGCTTGCTGAGGTGAGGCCTGGTCACAGGAGTTAGCAACAAGAAACAGGAGTAAAATGCCTCTTCCAATCTTATTTCTCAAGGGAGCACTAAGTGAAGCCTGCATCTCATTGGCTCACAAGAATTTAAAAAAAAAACAAACACTGCCCACTGAATCCTTCCTGCAGGAAGGGAACCAGAGCCCTACTCACCCAAGCCCCTCTGCTACTGGCAGTTGCAGGCATGCTGCCTCTGATAACAGAGGTGGCACATAGCCAACAAGGGTAGTCACCCTGGATAGCCTTCTCCTCCATCATTTGTCCAATACCCCTTTAAAGGCATCCACACCGGTGGCTGTCACCCCTTCCTGTGAATCCTGATTCGCATTGCCTGTGAATGCCTCTGAAATTTTTGGCTGCTTTGATATTTGGTGCTATGGGACGACTTTCATCTTACTCTTCTTTCCGTTCTTCAGTGCAGTATAATTCTCCAGTCCATAGCACCTTTGATGCAGAAGGATAAGAGAATATTATGGGACTGATTATGTCTAATGGATTCCTTCCCTATCAAGGTTGCATGGTCGATGTTACATTTCCTAGGAAGTATCTGTGGATACAGCATGTGCCGTTTAAATAGGCTAGAAGACAAAGGCTCAGCAACTTGTTTTCTTGCTTGTCATCCTTTTCAGTTTGTTTAGAAGGCAATTTTCAGAAGATTAGTGGAGAATTTTAAACATTGGACTCCATTGTGGATTTCTGTTAGTAGGAAAAAAAAGATACCCTGTTTTTTTTTTCTCCCAGCATCTTCATGCTCCAGTAGCTTGATGCTTTTGCATTTAACTCCCAAAGGGGACATGTGCAGTAGATTGCCTTAGTCAGTGCATGCACATATTTTCTGGTATATTTGTGTCCCCCTGGAGAATATACTTATCAGAAAGAGTTGCAGCCTAGGCTAGTGCTGTAAATTACACAGACTACCATTTGTATTGTAGCAGCCTGAAATAAAAAGTAAATGAGAATGAGAAAGAGCAGTCGCAGACAAAACTGAACTGCACCAGGGAACGAAAAGCTGGCTCAGTATCAGCTTCTTTAGCAAGGGCTCTCTGCCCTGTTATTTTGATATCAGGAAGAAGAGAAAGAGTCCTGAAATTGAACAGAGAGATATGAGAAAACATTACCTGTTTCATCTTGCTTGGCCTTGGGCATGGGAATGGGAATTTTTTTTGCCTTTTTAGTGTATTTGTTGGTATTTTGGATCAGATCCTCAGTTCAAGTGCAGTGATAATGCTGTAATATAGCAACTGAGGAGCTTGAATAATTTCTGCTATATTCAATGCTGGCTTCTGTAATTCTCTTTTTTCTTGTCCAGGTTACTAACTGCATTCATCTTCCTCAGGTTTTTGCAGCTAAAGTACTTAACTTCGTCTTGCCAAATCTAACTCTGGGATCCATTGACCCAAATGTTGTTTCCCGGAACAAGAAAGAGGTGAGAATTTTATTGCTCCCGCACACAGCTGAAATAGTTGCATGTATTTCCCAGTGATGTCTTTTTGCTGTTGCCTCAACTGTTTGGCAAGGCCTGTCATGGCAAGTTCCATCTTGCTGCAAGTCAGTGAAATGCCCCTGGAGGGAAATGGTGCATGTTTGCTTACACAAAAAGAAAGTTTAGGGTTCCATCTATTCTGTAATGACTTCCCCTCCAGGGGTTTTGCATCAGAATTCTGAACTGCAGGAGAGAAATTACGGAATCTGTAATCAGTCAAGAGAACTATCATACTTGTGGAACTCCACAGGTTGGATCCCTGTCAAATCTGCTCTAAGGCACATGGCTTACCTGACCTACTTCCATACATACTGTAGACAAATATCACTGTGACACTTGGGAAGCCAACATGGCTTCATCACAGCATAAGTAATGTCAGCATGGATTTTTTTTCTAGAGCCCATCAGAAAGGAAGATATCCTTCTGTGTTCAACCATATGCCGTAGTTCAGAGATGAAAACCCCCTTTTTCCTGCAGGGGCCTCATTGCCTGGTGGAAATTTGTTAGGGGTACATGTCATTGGTTGGGGAGCCTAAGCCTAAATTGGGTGGAATCAGACCCATGTATACAGTGCACACAGCATATACATACGCACTGTACATAAGCACATGCATGCAGCTCATTCACAAACCACATGTAGCACATACCATACAAATGCAGCTCACATGCAAACACGGGTCACCCAACAGCAGAAATCACATGCATACAGCATACTCACCCCCTTCCCTTTCTGCTCTTCCTCTCTCTCTCTCTCCTTCCTCCCACACCCAGCGCTGTGGACAAGGCAGGATGATTCAGTGTGCACCTCTCCACACACTAAGGGAGGGGATCCTTTCATAGCATGGAGAAAGAGGAATAGCCAGCTGACAATGCAAGAAATTATCACTCCTTACATTGCTCCTCAAATTCCTTCTGCTGACCTATAAAAATGGTGACCAAGGAGGGTGGGTGGAGTCGGAAGGCCTGACAGGCTGCATCTAGTTTTCCACTACTGTTTTGCGTGCTTAAGATTCTAGGTTCTTTTCTTAGAACTCCAACTTGTGGAATCTCACATAGGTGATCTGGGGGAAATGGTTGCTTGAAAACTGCTTAACTTTCTTAAGGATGGTTTGTCCATGCTTAAAATAATTATTTCCTTCTCCCCTGTTTCACACATTGAAAATTCAGAGCAGGAGTGGAATATGTCATTGCTAGAGAAGTGCTGTAGTAACAGCAGGAGCTGCAAGTGTTCTGTGATTCAGGAAGTCTTGTCCACACATCTTTTATTCCTTCACTTCATCTTAATGGGGTAGAAAATTGATTGACTTCATAGCTGCCAGGTTGTGCTAGTGGTAAAACAACCCAGCTCAGCAGTAGGTCTTGTACTTTGCTGACATAACTTTGGATGGATCAAGCATTCTGTGGGTTATTAGCAGAAGCCCTTCTCCAGGTACCTCTGCTAAATGTGAAATACAGTGGTGACTACTACATCAACAAAGGCCTTTTGATGGTTGTTCACCAACTCTCCAGAGCAGCTCACCTGAAGGTCACCTGACAGTGCCAAGTGAGATCTTGTTCTCTGCTCAGGATTTTACTCCTAAGTTGGGCTTAGTTCAGCTTTTGCCAACCTGCCACCCTTCAGGTGTGTTGGACTATCATGCCGGCTAGGAGCATGATGGGAGCTATAGTCCTGGGAGAATACCAGGTTGGAAAGGAAGATTTAATGCCTTAATTCTGCTATATTAATGTCTGCATCTGGTTTATTTTGTTTATACAGATTATTTTATTCTCTCCTAATTTTCAGTTTTTAATTTTTACAGCTTTCAAACATATTGTTACCTACTACTGAACTAAGCAGTACACAATACAGTACTATTTGTAGATAAATAAAAGCATCTTTTGTTGCTTACTGGCATTTGCAGGAGTACAAGCTGCAAACCTGTACCTGATGCCATTAGTAAAACAAAAGTAAAAACCAAAACAATGGCTTCAGCAGCATTACACTAACAAGTAAACACAAGTTTGCTCTTTGAAGAACACACTCATAGGTACAGAAAAAGAGGGACGATGGATGAAAATAGCATAGCCTAGCCAAAGATCACAAAGTTTATTATTAAGACTAACTGAACTGGTATTAAAATGACTAATATGATTACTATGAGCCAATGAGGCTCTAATGTGGGAAATGCTGAGGATTCCTGACACCAAAGTGCTAACAGGGTGTCAGCAATGCAGTAAGATTAAACAAGCTTTAGCACATCCAAACCACTATATTTAATGTTTATATTTAATGTTGACGTTTCAGTGGGAGACGGGTGGGTATGGTTGTCTGGTAAAGCATCTTTCAGTTAGTATGGTCCCAGATTTAGTGGAAGGCAGAAGAAGAGAAGGAGGAGGACCAGCTCTGAGATGGATTGATTCCATAGAGGAAGCCACAGCCTTGGGTTTGCAAGAGCTGAGCAGGTTGCCAAGGACAGGACGTTCTGGAAGGTAGTGTTCATAGGGCTGCCCTAAGTCAGAGACATCAGATGATGGCACGTAACAACAGAAACTCTTACGAGGTTCTGGCTGAGGCAGATCCCTGCTGCAGAGCCAGCACCTGGCAGCCAGCCGTGAACCAGTGGAAGAACTGCCCAGAAAGTCGCTCCTTGTAGCTGTTCTTACAGCCCTTTTAACCTGCAAGTCATGTACTGGTTCTTAACAAGCCCATGCAGCTGCAAGGAGCACCTCTGCTGTGTTACATCACACATGATAAACACACAGCTTGCCAACAAATACCATCTTGCCTGCGAACACCAGATCTCTTTAGAAGTGTGATTTGCAAAGCATTTAGATAGTTTGACACTAATCAGTCACCAGCTCCTTGGTATCACTTATACTCAAAACCCACAGAATGCAAATACAGAATGAGCTGGGGAAAGCATGAGTACTTGTCAGATATCCCCATGGGACGATCTTGGATAAAACATCCGTTCGGGCCCTTGTAGGGATTCTTTCTGCACCAGCATGCTCAATGCAGAACTACCTAGCCAATCTGCAGAAATGCTCCATGAAGTCAACACTGATTACCACAAGCACTAGAATTATGTGGTTCCATTTTTCCTTGACTGTACCTTTCAGGTTACTGGCAAGGTAACAGGTGAATCTCTTGCTTAGGTCCTGTCAGATAAACTTATCAGGGAGAATATTCTTTCATTATACTCATATTCTTCGGCTTCCCAAAAGCAGAACCAAATTCTGGCCATCCCTGCTATGTTCCTGTGTGCACCAGAAAGGCCTAGCAATGAGCTTGTCTTGTATGCTGACATCAAATTTCCTTGGAACAGAAACCTGTGAAAGGTTTATAGTGTGAAAGAAATAAATCTCCAGCTCCTTCATATCACCTGCTGTTGAAACCTGCACAATACATGTTCAGATTGTGCTGCGAACAGCCATTATTTACATGTTGAATGTATTCATCTGACAGACCAATTTCTAGTCTCTATAAATATCACTGGGATGTCCTCCAAGAATTTCCTGACTTGTTTGTGTTCATAGCAGTTTGGCTTCGCAAAGCAGGAACTGAAGTGTAAATGGTGGATTTGAGACTTTTTTAGTTCTCCCCCAAATGTGATGCATAACTCTAAATCGGTTATGATTACAGTTTTGAAAGAGAGCAAGACCAGAGATAATGACCCTTGCTATCATCGGCTGTCTGCTTGCCAGATCATCATCATTATCCCACTTGCACCCCACTTTTCTTCCTCTTGCAAGGAACTGACGGGAGCTTGCAAGGTTCCTTTCCTCTCCATTTTATCCTTACAACAGCAACCCTGTGAGGTGGGCTAGGCTGAGAGCGAGTGATTGGTGCTTCGTGGCTGACGAGGGACAAGAACCCACATTCCCCAAGTTCTAGTCCACCATTTTGCTACACTTGCTGTGGCTGCATTGCTATACTAGCACTATCCTTCTACTGAGTTTTCTGCCACTATAGTTAGATAAAGGGTGCTGGAAAATGCAGATTCGGTCTGTTCCTAGAAAGCCATTTTTTATGTTTAGGTATTCTGATCGTGACCAGAATATAGGCACATAGGAAGCTACCATTTAACAGTGTCTGTCTTTCTAGCCCAGTATTCTCTGCAGTAGCAATACAGCTATCCCTTTCTAGGGTTATAGGCAGAAACTTCGACACCAGCTTCTACCTCATCCTTTTGACAGAGGATGGTTGGGACTAAACCGGTGACCTACATGTAAACCAGGTGCATAATCATTGAACACAGCCCTTCCAGTCTCCCCAGTATTCCGTCCTCAAAGGTGATTGAAGATAAAGGGGTTGCTGAGGTAATCTGAGGTCACTCAGTGTTTAAAACACTTGCTTTTAAAATAGCATAAGCTATAAAGAAATATCTGAGCTGTGTTCATTCACCGAATGCAAATAGAGGCAAAAGGGGCGTGTTAATGAGAGAATGCAGAAATGTAGGTGGACAGAATGAGGTAGAACCTTTTAAGGTCTTGCTGGTTTTTCTTACATCTCCCACTCATTAAAAAAAACCCAGACCTTTCTTTTGAAAGGTCTGAAATAAGTTGCCTAAAATGAGTTGTTGGCCATTCCAAAGGTTGCCACTTCTACAATAAATCAGGGCTGAAGATAAAACCATTTTCTCTGTCAATTGTTCGTTCATTGTTCTACTGAAATACATTGCATGCTGGATGGTCACATCATATGCCCTGATCCTTAACTATTTATTTATTCCTTTGGGTATTTTTATGCCATCCAATTACGACACATCTCTGGACAGCTTACACACAGAGCACTCAATAAATACATATAGTAACCCATAATAATAATGGTTTTTCAATAATGGTTTGCTTTTTTTCTTTATATGTTAGATATTTGCATTTCTGAGGATTTTAAATCAGCACAAAACAGTGCGGGGAAGCCATTAGGCCATCTCCTGGCATTTGTGGCTTTATCTGGAGGTGGTGAAGGGTTATCATACAAATTTACCTACATTATTCTGTGGGAAGAGAATGTCTGTCAATCCAGCCACCCACTCCTGTGCCATTTTTCTTTCCCCAAGGGTTCTTCGTCTGTTGCCTTTTCATTGCAAACACAGCTTGAAGCGATGTCGCCTGTGCATGGTGTTGTGTCACGCACCAAACAACATACCGATCTTTTTGGTCAGCAACCAGTTGCTAAGTAGCCAGAAGAACACAGCGCTTTTGTTTAAAACAGAGAAGTCAAATGGGCTTGGGTGGAAATGTCAGGGTTCACCCAGCAGCTACGAGAGCAACTTGACAAAATCGCAGGCACTTACCATAGTTGCCCCCTTAGCTGGAGCTCAACTATTTTCCCTACACTGTCCCTCCTAAACCAAGGTTTCCCTCTGAACAAATAAGAATAATATAGAGGCAAGAAGAGGGATTTAGACAGTTTGATGCCCCTTCAAACAGATGCCTAATGACTGACTTGTGGGGTCTCAAAGAAGAATCTTTCTAAAGAGCATGAGGAGCCCACAGGGAGTATCTGCCCAGCCCTCCCCAGAGATGGTTTTGGGCCTAACGGGCTTCTAAGACTCGCAGGGCCCTCATGGGCCTCATTGACCAAGGCCCCTTTCAGGAGTGGCCCCTGTCCTGTCCCCTGCGGTTTGCACACATCCTTGGCCCTGCACCAGGGAATGTTCCACATGGCCTGCACATAACTGCAGCCTCTTGGGGAAGAACTTTCTGGCTTTGTCCCTGCCCAAGCCAGCTGTTTGCTTCCCCTGGGTAGGAAGAAATCTAAGATCTCCTGTCTCAAAGGAGCTTCTGGTGCATCTCTGTGTTTCTGGTTTTGCCTTGACCCTAGTTGCCCTTTATCCAGACTTCTGGTCCTTGTTTCTTCGTTCGCACCAGACAGCTGCTCATAGACTGGCCCTGACAGATGCCCCTGCCAGGCAGTCACCAGTGACTCAAGTCATTAGTGGAGCTTCCTGCCAATTCAAAATGCTGGCTCTAGTCATCTCAGGGCTGAGTGGATGCAGGACTCCCTTGGCCCAGTGCCCAGCCAACTGGCTGGCACCTGCCACTTTAATTTCCCACAGTCTCTCTGGGCCCTAACATGACATCCCTCTGGAATGCTGCTGTTGGAGTGCTGGAGACATTATAGACTTTAAAGGGTGGCTGTCAGCAGGTGTGTTTGCCAGTTAGATTAGATGCTGCAGCTGCTTTCAAGATCAAGTGCAGGAGAGTGTCTGCTGTGTTGGGGTGGTAACCAAGGGCCCGGCCAAACTAGATGCCAGCTCAGTTCTGTACCTCTGCTGCAGTCAGGTGTACTTTTTGCTACCAGTTGATGTGGGGCGGAGGCTGATGGAGCTGGTCTCGCCACAGAGCCAGTTGGGGCCTGCTTTCCATTTCACCCTGTGCTGTTGACCATTGGGAATGGGACAACTTTGTGATATTTCTGCTTGTATTGATACTGTTAGGATATTGTTAGTGACATTGTGATATCGTATTAGCTCAGTATTGTTATTTTGCTTAGAATTGAGATTTTTGGAACTGAAATGTGTACTGATACATTAGTATGATGATTTTTAATTGAATTGCATTGCTGCCTCCAACACAGTTTTCTGTAGAAAAGTGGAATCTGAATCAAAACTCTCTACCACTGTGACTAATTTACACAAAGCTTTGCAGATAAAATTGATCATCTCCATGCCAACTCGTTTACCATTGTAGATACAGGTCTAGTGTATGTAGCTATGGGACCTACCTTTCCCATGATAATGAATACTTTTTCATTTGTTGAGCCCAAGCATGTGGACAAGATCCTTGGAGAAGTGAGGCCTACCACAAGTGTGTTTCCTGGGTTAGAAAAGCAGCCAGAGGTGAAGGAGGACTGAGTACATAAAGGTTGTGGAGAATGCCTCTATATGGCAAGGTCTGTGGCTAGACTTTCATTTTTAAAAAGGAAAGAAACCCCTCTCTGAACTTCAGTGCATTGGATGATACAGTGGCAGACCTGGGAAAAGTTGTCTGCCCATCTTTAAAAGAAATGGCAGAGAAGACACAAACTTTTTGCAGCATAACATTTCCTAATTCCTACAATTTGTTTTATCCCTACAGGTTGAGTCTTACAACTCAGATCCACTGGTCTACCATGGTGGTATGAAAGTCTCCTTTGTCATCCAGCTGCTGAACGCCATTGCCAAAATAGAGCGCTCTCTCCCCAAACTGACTCTTCCCATCCTGGTGCTCCATGGCTCACCTGACAAGCTCTGTGATATCAAAGGCTCCTATTTGCTAATGGATACTGCAACAAGTCAAGATAAAACACTCAAGGTCCTCTTGGCTTTTCTTCAGGGGCAGGGGTGGGATTAAAGGAATGTTGCTCATTGCTTGGTGGGTTCTGCAGTGATTTGATAGGGCTTCTTCCCAGCAGAGGTTAGGACATGAGCAGAAAAATGTCCTGATTAAAGGCATGCCTAGATACATCTCTATATCTTTTGCAGGCCCAAGTGGATTAAACTTTGGGGTGCCAGATAAGTAGACTAAGTCTCTTTCATACACCACAGCCCTAAGCCCATTTATGTGGCACTGATTTCAGGAGAATGAGTACCAACGAAATTAGGCTCAGGATGACAGCCAAAAACTGTAAAGAACAGTTGTTTGGATGAAAGTTCAAGCTTCCATAAAGGTGTACAAGAAACTTTCTAAAGTTTAAATGAAGACCACTCCATCTGCTCATTTCAGAAGGCACAGTATTGTTAGCCCTTTAATTCACCTTGAAAATAATAGCTGGATACACATCAGTAGGATAAATACAGGCTATGAGCACATCAACCCATGCCCAAGGTTGAGTATAAGTTGGGAGTAAGTTGAAATTGAACTGTTGGTTGTTTAAAAACATGGCTTGTTGTGTTCTGTGAATCCAGCAGTGCCAAGAAACCATGGTTTAACCACAAACAATCCATGATTTGTTGTTGGGTTGTGATCGCTGGGTTAACAAACTATGGTTTATTAGTATGATTAGATTCACACAACACAACATCCACCCATTTCAACAAGAACTCATACTCAACCAATATACAACCTTGTATGAATCCAGCTAGCAGGTTTAAAACACCAAAACAATCAAATATTTCCTGTGCCCCAGTGGGTTTTAAATTTAATCCATGCTCAGGCAGTCATAGGATGTACTACAAGGATGAGCTTCTGGAAGAAAGAGATTTGCATGATTTTTCCCAGTATAACAGAGATGTGTACATGGGAGCAGGCATATATGAGGAGCTGGTTGAGCTGTTGTCACTAAAAAAGAGAGTTTCAGTGGAATCAAGATGAAATTACAACGTTAACCCACCTACAGTCTTCCCTCTTTCCCCATTTGGTGCCCAGTGGGGCTGTAATCTCAGGGAAGGAAACGGTGCGGATTTTCCTGCAGGGGATCCAAAATAGGTTCTCCTTTGAGACTGTATCTGTGTCTTTGACCTGATCTGCATCTTTGTCTCTGGTGGGCCTGTTAGTAAAATTTTGAAACAGTATAATATGCAAATCAGGCTTCATGGTATTCATCAAGCATTTGGTTTTAGAGAACACCTGCCCCAGTAAAAATGGGGAAGCATCTTCATTGCCCATCCTTGAACAGCCTTACTTAGGAGCTATTACGAAGGACTCATAAAGAAGCCTAGCAGAGCACATGGTGTAAATTTGCACAAAAGCCTGCTGAGGTGCCACAGCTGCGCCTCTCTGCATTCAGTCCAGGGTAACTAATAGGTGCTAAAATTAGTTGAATTGGGCAGGAGATGCAGAACTAAAAGAGCCTCTGGTTTTGTGCCTCTTAGCATGACCATTTTCTGTGGCTGCCGTTCACAGTATGCATCCGAGCATTAAGGGAAAGGTGACTGATTAAAATATGGTCAAGTGCTAGTCGAACAATGCAGTTATATTTTAGAGGGGCTTAGATGGCCAAGGTTGCCATGTGCTTCTGAGGGAATGTGCAGGCTCCATTTGAACTAGTGGCATTCTTTTAAAAAATGATCAGGGCAATTGAAACAAAGGAAAGGGATAAAAGAGGAACAAATATAATAAGCTGGCGCTACTGACAGAGTTGGGATTTTGTTTTGGAATTGGAGTCTCAGTCCAAGTGATTACAATCACCCACCTGACTGCCTTCGGATAGTAACAGGCTTTCCAAGGGAGGCTTGCATGGTGTTTGTTCTCCTCCCTTTGGGCCACAGATGACTTCATGTGCTACCAGTGCAGCAGCACAGCTTTCTGACATTTGCAGAGCTGGCTTACTAGTGCTCTGGGATGTGGTGATGGGCACTCAGGTGGCATTCACAGGAGAATTAGGCCGGTTCGTGGATCAGCAGCTGCCAGACGCACCTCCTGCAAGCAGGGTTCTGGTTGGACAGGGTGTGAAACAGGATGTCTGAACCAACAAAACAATTCTTATTTAACAAAACCATTTCAGATGCCTTAACATATTCAGATGCTTTTCTTTTTCTTTGTTTTGGAACAAGTGCTGCTGCCCACCCACATCCATTATTCCCCAGCTGTGCTCTTAGTGGCTGTCTCTGCATTTACAGTTTCTCTGTGTCCACTTCAAAGATTCATTACTTCTCCTACCCGTCCTCCCTTGCCCGTGTGGCGGCCCTTTGGCGTTGACCACCCTTTTGTGTTCTGCTTGCAGGTGTATGACGAGGCTTATCATGCTCTGCACAAAGAGCTTCCTGAAGTAACTGCTTCTGTTCTTAAGGAAATACAAACGTGGATTGGTCAGAAACTCTCAGCAGCAGAAGAAGCCCACTGATCTTAAGAAAAGCAACTCTGAGATCTTCTTAAATGGTGGCTGGGATATTCTGGGAGGGAAGTTTTTATTTATTTATTCTTTCTTTGCAACCTCTCTTTGGGAGGAGAAAATCTCTTAAAGGGACTCCTGAAATACATTGTTTTTAAACAGAAATTCCTGAGGTATGAGGAAGGGGTTACCTTGCAGCCATTTAAAGGTTATAAGAGCTAGAGAAAGAATCAGTCCAGATTTCCCACCAAGAGTGCTGCATTAAGGGACTTCTTTGAATCCCTCCCAAAATCCAGAGCACTTACTACCCCTGTTCTTTGTTTTCCAAGGAGTTCCTGAGGTGCTGAAGTAATTTTTTTATACTGCAATAATCTTCAGAATGTTTTAAAGTTTGGCAACTTCTGTGTCATTCGGTTTCTATTTTTGCCAGATTACAGTTCCTCTCTCCTGTACTTTCAAGACTACAAACAGTACAAGAAAGTCTTTGCCATGTGGAGATGGAATTAGGAAGGAAGCTGGGTTCACAGTGGAGCCTTTTTATGTGCGAACTCCAAACCTGGTGATGTTTATGACAGGGCCTGGTCAGGCCAAAGAGGCACTTGGCCTACAAGCCTTCAGGGGCCAAAGAGAGGAGTACCCATTGGGGCGCAGTACCAGCACAATCAGCTTTGCACTCTGGAATGACAAGGCACAGAGCCATTCAATATCAGCCCCAGATTTGACACCACCAAGGAGCAGGCATAATGTAGAATAGTGTATCTAGAAGTCTAGGCATACTAAAGAGATGTTGCTGCTTCCAGAAACCAAATCTTGCTTCAATACGAGAACTGTAAATACTCGTAGGGGCTGCTTTTTTGTTACGTGTGTTACTGATAATTTAAGCTGTAAAGTCAAAGTTATATTTAAAGAGAAATATTAAATATAATATATAACGTTTCTGTAGGTTGCTCAGAGGTATATGGAGGTGGGGAAAGAAGGGAGTAAGGCATGGACTAGCTCTGCAGGTCGCAGTCTCTGCCTGATAGCCCTTAGGGACAGCCATGCTGAAATGGAATGCAGCTGTCATGTGACAACCAGGGAATAGCCAGGTATTGTTTTCCATAATTGTGGCACTCCTCCTCCTGGGCTTAATTCGGAAGGAAACTCAGAAGCTGCTCACCTCTTTGAGGCTATTCCTTTATTTTTGCCCATGGTTGGAAGCCAATACAGGGAGCAAGACAAAGAAGCCAAAGTAATGGAATACTCAGCAAAAATACATAAGGGGCTCCTAGGTTAGCCAAAGGACTGGCTTACTCTCAAACGTTTGTTGCTGTGGGACCTTGGAAGCTTCAGCACTAGACCAGCAGGGGGAGGTGTACGTGGTGGCTTCCAGTCCTTCCCTTGGGGTGGAGTGATGTGTGGTGCTGAAAACTGGCAAGGGAACTGGCTGGTTGAATGGCTATGTTGGTGCATGTGAGAGAGACTGAGCTGTATGGAGGGTCTAGGATTTGGTCTAGTTTATAGTATGATAGGGCGTTGGAAACAAGGGAGTAGCATGTGCGGGATCTCTGAAACTCAACAGCCTTTGGGGTATTGGCCTTAACTGGGACTAGTTGCATGGCCAGCCCACAAAAGCATGAATGAGCATCCCATAGCTGGTCAGATACTTGCTATGCAGCTATCAGATATTGCTTCCAGTCAGTCAAATCTGCCGTGTTGGTTGAAATGCTGTCCCAGATCACACATGCACATCTTCTCTCAACTTTTTACTTGGCAAGAAAATTACTATTAATATTGTTATTATTAATAGTTACTGTTAGCATATCCCTGTAAAATAATACGAGTTAATATGGTTGAGCCAGCCTCCAGAAGTAGACCACACACCATTTGTCGTAACACTGATGTTCCAACATTGGAAGCCTGCAGAAATCTTGCTATACAGAAGCTTCTAAGTCCTGATTTTCCCATGCATTCTTGCATGAGACACCACTGTGACTTGTAAGCTGCTTTAAAATTGGTGAATTTCCAGCAGAAAAGCCTTCCACTCTATTTCACTGGGACACCACTATTCCCAGTGACTTAAGTGTAGCCATTAGTCATGAAGTTCTCATGTTTTTCTTAGAAATGCATGTGCTTTTCAGTAGGAAATTTATAATATTTGAAGTGGCCTTAATTAGCCAGATGGCCAAGATAGATCAAGTCTCAATTGTAAAGGGAGACCTGTTCTGGTGAATTTCAGGATGCAAAATAATCACACAGACAAAACTACTTGTGCACTTGGCCAGACATATTTATATTTACAACCCTGACACTGATTCCCTACTAAAACCTCCTTACCTTTTTGTCTGGAAGTGATTCTTAGTCTTTCCAGAGACCCAGGTAAGTGGCTGCTGTCTAGAATACAGAGATACTCTGCTAAATTGACCCAAATGCCCTAGGTTGGCAGGTGATAGAATTACTAGACAAAGTCCAGTAAGTCATCCAAAGAAAACTGAACAGATGTCAAAGACAGTATCCAATGTGGCAACACTAATGTACATTATTTAGCCCTAATGTAATTAGTCCATAGCGGATTGTCAGTAGCACCTGCTGCCACGGCAGGTTTTCCAGGGAAAACCAGCAAGGGCTATTGGCATTGCCGCAAACTTAATTTGTGTGTTTGCGGTAGTGCCAACTTGGGTATTGCTCCAGTGTCACATCTGTACTTAGATGAGGTACTTCCTCTTTTTTCCCCTTTGACTTTCCCAGGACATTGCAGGGGGTCACATCCTGCCCTGGCAAATTCTCCACAGAATCTCCTGTGTATCTCCTCCTCCTCAGCTCCAGCAGTGTATTGGGGCAGTATAACACAGTATTTCCACTACTGCAATTTTCAGTTGGGCTGGTGCTGTGCAATGCAAATACAAACCCACAGATTGCAGGAGTTTCACACCCCACCTCCAGCACCCCTTCTTGTTAGGAACTGTGGATGAGAACCTTGTATAACCACAAACAGCCCCTAAAACTCGTTTTTGACAAGACCCAGATTAGCTGCTGGTTGCAGATTTTATAGGTCATTCCACAGTACAAAAGAATGGCCCTAAAATAAGAGTTAGGATATGGATGCGACAAGATGCTGTTGTGTGTGGATGAGAGGAGGTATGTGGCTTAGATACAGCATTCCTCTCCCACTTCAGGAGCTGAGCGAAAGGCAGACTGCAGTGTTGATGACCAGCTAGCGGGGAGACCCTTGCTGCTTTTAGGCCTTAAAAAAGAATCGGGTAGACTGCATGTATCGCAATCAGTGGAACCAAAGTGGAAGCTGTTAAGGGAGAAATATGTTAGAATGCACTCCAAGTGGAAATTTTTCCAAAGATGTGTGTGTGAGCTTAATGCCTTTCACCTATTCGAGTCAATTGGGAGTTTTGCCACAGTGAAGGAAATCTAGGTCAGTGCTGCCTGCATTCGAGAACAAGTGCTTGTTCAAAAAGAAACAGATTCCTATATATGTCAGAGCACTGCTCTGCTGGTTCTTGTTTTCTGCATGGCCAGAAGAGACTCTGGGTTCACTGCCTTTGAATAAGTGTGTCCAGAGAATGACGACTATAACTCCTGAGCTCTGGAGCAATGCAGAAAGAAAGATTAGGGAGTATATGCAGCTCTCCACAGGCACACTTGAAAATCAGATGCTCAGTCTGTGAGAAAGTAGAAGCTGCTGTTCAGACATTTTCAGTAACGATGTATCTGCTGGGGAAATCCAACTAAGAGGGTGAGTTTGGGAGAGCATGTTCTGTTCTGGAACCTACTTACAGCCTGAAGCTGCCCGCCTTCAGCCAGCCTCTCAAATTTAGGCCTATAATTGTTTAAAAGACAAAGAGCTGGCCGCCTAACTCCGAGTAGTACTTTACCAAAAAGAAAAAAAGTTGCTCAAATAGTCTTATTTTTAGATATTGGGAACTATACATGAAACAGATCTGACTTTCCAGCTGGTTATAAGAATCAACAAAAGTTTGTTAGTGGGATTGTGTTGCAGATGTGAAGGAAACTCCTAACCCTCTTCAAGTTGCTATTAAACCCTTCAAGTCAAGCTTGTTCATGTTGGCATGTTTGAGCTCTGCAATGTTACAGAAAAGTTCTTTTTGAAAAGCCATGGGTTATTGAAGGATTATCTAACCCGCAAACAACCCCTTTCCCCACGGGGTTGGGGCAAGCTGGGAGCCATGCAAAAAGAGTGCCCAAGATGGCACAACAGCCACAAGGGTAAATTAAGCCACTGTGGGCTGCTGTGTCAGTGGAGACATAATTGGCAGGCAGGGACAGAACAAAGCCTGTTACGGGATGTGGGAACAGGGCCATAGCTTGCTAAGCTGCTTATTGCCAGAGCTATCTGGTTCACGAGCTGTGTGGCGATGCGAGGAGAAATTTAGAGAAATGGGGATGATTTCTGGGTCTGGCATGCTTCAGAAACCTAAAGTGGCTGAAAGCTGCCTTATTTCAGGCTCACACAATTTATGACTAGCCAGACTGCAGTGTAGCCTGCAGCTCTAGCAATATTGGCAGGCAGCAAATCCATGGAACTTAGGAAGTCTCCTGGTGGACCTCCATACATGGTGGCTGAACCTTGTACCTTGGCTTCCTAGGTCATGTGTTGTACAGGCCTGCCCTAAGTTATAGTCATACCCATACTGGAAGGCAGGCCGAATGTTCTTTAAAAGAAGCCTCCATAAAGTTGTTTATTTCCCCCTGCTTTTTTTTAAATGCATGCAGTTTCTGGGGAGCGTAGGACTGTTGCCGGTTCCCAGACTGCTGTGCTGGCACCAACAGGGAGTTTTCCTTTGCGAGTCTCATTCCATTATGACAGAGCAATAGTTAATGTGTAACTAATGTATATATCACTCACCATCATATGCACCAGATGTGGCATGATAACCACCCCACTCATAACATGTCTGGCACAACGTTTTATAATGAGCCTGCTCTTTTTATATCCATCACCTTGCCACTTTGGTGACATAATCTTAGCAAGATAACTTATTTTTCCAAGTAACTTCTGAGCCACTATATCTTCTTGTTTCATTTGTGCTCCAGCTCAGTCAGTACTAGACACTCACATACATGCGCACTTGAAACACCTGTACTTACAGCAAAGAGAATGTGTACCACTTAGATACTTTTGAGGGGTGGGAGAACTAAAATGTATATGAACATTAATAATAAAGATATGTTTTCCGAATATGGTATGATTGAGGTTATTTGTACTCATCCAGTTATTTGTACTCATCCAGTCATCAGCCAAGGGTGGAAAAGCCTCCTCAAGACAAAGTAATAATAACCATGCTTTATCCTTGTGGTGATCTGATGAGAAACATAGAAAGCTCACTGAGTCTTTGCAGTTCCTCCTTCCTCTGCCATATTCCCTCTGCCCAGTTTCCATAACACACACATGTATAGTGCCCATAACACTTGGCTTCCATATGCAAGTAAAATACCGCTGTGTACTACAGCCTCTCCAGCCACAGAGAGAGAGAGATTTCTAACCTATCGGGTTGGTAAAATGCAATAATTAAGGTGTCTGGACATTCAAAGCCAGCACTACCATCCCTGCTCACTAGATGGCAGGCTTTCCTGCAAGGGTGCAGCATTACAGTTGACGCCATTTGAAGCCTGGGGGGAGTTGCTTGAGGGTCATTTCTCTCACCTTACTGCAGGGCGCCCTGCCTCAGGGAATGTGAGTGCAGAGCCCCTTCCTTCGAGTGGCTGTAGGGCTGTACCATGGGAGGCGAGGATCATGCTTAGGGATACCATTAGCCAGGGCTTTACTCAGATGGGACCAACACAGTATGCCCAGCCCTGATAGCTGCACAACTGCTTGAAGGCCTTGCTATAGCAAGTAAGGTAGTTCAAGGTAAGCCAGCTGATTTTTTTTTTTAAAGACCAAATAAACCCACAGCAGATGCTTAATCTAAAAGATGAATAAAAGAGCAAGGGAGGGAAGTGAAGGGGGAGAGCCAGTGCATGCACCTGTGCTAAAGTTAAGTAGTGGCTCCATAAGGGCAGGCCGAAGCACTTCGGCAATTGGGCACACTAAAGCATGATCAATGAAAACATGGGAAGTGCTGAGGTGGTGGGAGCTGGTGTTCCTGATGGAATGGCCCTGCTTCCTGTCCCTGTTGTAGCTTGGGGAGGAGTAGTGTAGTTGTGATCCATGCCCTGGGAAACTGAGCCTGCACTCTTGAGAAATCCTGTTACTGGTAAGGCACACAATTCCAATCGAATTTCTACCCCATTCCAGAGCTCACCCTACATCATGTATCTTCATTAATATTCCCTTGAACTCATTTTTTGAGCCAACCTTCACATCTTCTGTAACAAAAGCAACT